GCTTTTTCTTTACATATTTGAGTTCATGTTCACTAGTAGATCATTGGTCAGCTCTTAATGTTAGGTTTCCATTGTGTACTTGAGTTTTCAAATTACTTTCCATAGTACTATTGAATCAATCTTTCGTAACTTGAAAATTTTAAGTGAATCATCTTACTTCTAGTGCACTATTTTGTTTTGGATTCAAATTTTAAAAGTTTGCTGGATGAAAAACAGAGAAAATACAGAGCAAAACAATTCAAAATAGTTATAAAAAAAAAAAGAAAACAAAAGAATCCAACCAAAAGTTTAAAAACTAGTGCACTAGTTCTTCAAATTTCACTTGAAATTCTTCATTCTAGTAGATCCGGTTTCTATACTTTGGAATTGTGAAAATTTTGAAATCAAAAGGCAAGTATCTTCTCTGGAATATATATTTGTATTCAGAAAAAGAAAAGAATTAAAAACTCATTTTCATTCTTGTAATTTTTCCTTTCCATTGTATTTGATTGGCCATTGTATTTAGGCCATTAGAATAGGGTTGTACAAGAATTACTTAAATAGGCAAGTTAGACTAAACTAGGTTTAATTTGGAAGTCATTTAAGTTACATTTGAGTCACATGTTTAGCACCAATGGTGGCCGAACATGTGCCACTCAAATTAACCCTAAATGATCCTTAAATTAAACATAGATGCACCCTAGTACCTAAACTCACGGCCAAGCACATGGAAGCCAAAATTTGAATTCAAATTTCAAGTTTGAATTCAAATTTTAGGCGCCACATGTAGGCTTGGATTTAGGCGCCAAAGTGTGCAATTTCGGATGCCTGCTTAAGTGCATATCACTCACTTTGTAATCACTTTTGATATATGAAATTTTTGAACATTTATTCAGCCAAATTTCTTCAAGAGTCACCGAGAGAGAGAGTGCCTTCAAACCCTAGGAACTTCACTTAGTTTTCTACCTTTGAAGTGAGCAATCCTTTGATGCTTAAGCTTGGATGCTTCCATCCATAGTTTAGGTCCTTTTGATCCGAGAATCTCCTTCATTCAATTCTTCTTCATTCGGTCTTCATTCTCCAAAGAAGATGTCCTAAGCAAAGGTGAAGTCAAGGAGGAGTTCTTCAATCATTCCTTCTAGCTTCTCCATCAATTTTGGTATCTAGAGCATGGTGCTTCATTGGACATAAGTGTTCTTGATTTTGACGGTTTGTTTTGTGTTCTTGTGTTCTTGTGTTCTTGTTGTCACAATTTGAGTTTCTTCTTGGATCTATAATTTTTGAAATCAAATTGTTCCATAGATCTAATTGATTGATTGCATTTTGATTTTCAATCCGCAATCAATGAAACTAGGATTCAACTTGTGCTATTGTTTTGTTTTGATTTGAGTTTTTCCATTCTTTGTTTAATTGTTTCGGTCATTGGAGTCATATGCATGTGTGGTCTTTGATTTTTGAATCTCAAGTTTTGCCTAGTCATGTACAATTTCTTAAAATGTCAATATCATTCAAGATGTGCTTGTAGTTTGTGCTGAAAATTTGAATTCTAATTTTGCTAAGTTTTGGCCGAGACTTACTTCTTCTAATTGTGCCTTGCTTGTGTGCTTTTTCTTTACATATTTGAGTTCATGTTCACTAGTAGATCATTGGTCAGCTCTTAATGTTAGGTTTCCATTGTGTACTTGAGTTTTCAAATTACTTTCCATAGTACTATTGAATCAATCTTTCGTAACTTGAAAATTTTAAGTGAATCATCTTACTTCTAGTGCACTATTTTGTTTTGGATTCAAATTTTAAAAGTTTGCTGGATGAAAAACAGAGAAAATACAGAGCAAAACAATTCAAAATAGTTATATTGATTGCATTTTGATTTTCAATCCGCAATCAATGAAACTAGGATTCAACTTGTGCTATTGTTTTGTTTTGATTTGAGTTTTTCCATTCTTTGTTTAATTGTTTCGGTCATTGGAGTCATATGCATGTGTGGTCTTTCTCCTCCGCACTTGCTTCTTCTTCATCCTCACTTGAAGATGGAGAAGTAGTAGCTTCATCTTGACTACTATAAATGTCTTGGCCCCTTAGAATCATGACCTGGTTGTTAGGGCATTGAGAAGCAATGTGGCCTCTCCCAAGACACTTAAAGCTTTTTATATCACTAGACTTGGTGCTAGTGTGTGAGGTGTTTATTTTTTTGTCTTTTTCTTTTTCTTTACCCTTGTCTAGATTTTTGGAAGGGAAAGTATTTTTCTTTTTAAAATCATTTTTCTTGCCCTCCCTCTTGTAGTCAAACTTAGAGTAAGAAGATGAGTATGAGCTTGTTTTGAAACCTTTTCTCAAATTTTGTTGTTCAACCTTGATACAAAGTTGAACCAAATCATTCAAATCCCTATAAGGAAGAAGTTCAACCTTATCTCTTATCTCAAAAGTTAAACCACTCAAAAATCTAGCAATGGTAATGTTTTCTTCCTCCCTAATAACAGCCCTCATCAAGTATAACTCCATCGTTTGTCTATACTTTTCCACAGTCATATTTTTTTGATGGAGTCTTTGGAGCTTGTTGATAAGCTCCCTAGTGTAATAAGAGGGAATATGCCTCCTTCTTAAGGCACTCCTTAACTCATTCCAATATTGAATTGGAGGGTCATTATGGAGACGTCTATCCCTAACAAGGGAAGTCCACCAATACATGGCATGACCTTGGAAGCTCAAAGTGGCTAGTGGTACTTTTCTTTCTTCACTCACTTGATGGCAAGTGAATCTTCAAGAGGGAGGGGATGATGGAGGAAGCCCATGGGCTAAGGGCCCAACTACTAGGGCTGTGGTAAGGAGGATACATGAAGAGTGGGCCCAAGCCCAAGGAAAACCTATCTCTTTGTTTAGTTGGGCTTTGACTCAAGCCCAAGTAGATTAGGGTTAGTGTAGGATTGGGCCTTAGTGCCTTATATTTCTTTGGGCCTTGTATTCACGGCCATTTAGCTTAGGTTTTTCATTTGGAGGTCATTTAGATTTAAGGTTAATTTAGATTAACATGTACACTTTCATTTGAATGTCATTAGTCTTTCATTTGAAGGTGCATTTCGGCCATGTGCACACATGCACATGGTGTGACCGAAATGCAACTCAAATGGATACTAAATCACATCCAAATGAGTGCACATGGAGGGGGTGGCCGGTAGGCACCAAAATTTGAATTTTAGAATTCAAATTTTGGCGCCTATAGTTAAGTAAACCTTACCATGGTTCTACTTAACTCTAGGTAAACCCAACTTAAAACCCTTAACCTAATTTCTCCTATAAATCTTCCTATGGCCGAGTATTGTAACACTTTGGATTATTGAATGAGCATTTCTTATATAGAATTCTCCTTCTCCGAAGTCACCACTCTTCTAGATTCCAACCTACTTGAGAGCTTCTCCTTGTAGAGCTAGGACATCTTAATTCTTCTCCGGACTTGGCTATCCGCAAGCCTAGGTCACATTGAAGCTTCCTTGGAGTCTTGTCCTTGAAGTTCTTCCAAGGATTTCCGAGGAGCTTGAAGTGTTCTTAAGAATTTCAAGTGGAATCTCATCAATCTCTCAAATTTTAGAACATTATTGGAGTTAATCACTTATACACTACCAGTGTAAAGTTTTTTTACACTGGCAACCAATTATATCTTTTAATTGTACCATGTCATTATAAACACATTTACTTTACACTGGCAGTGTATAGATGATTAACTCTTGTTTTTTAAAACAATATTTAGAAAACCATTTTTAAAACACGTGTTAAAGGGAATCAAACACGTCCAGTGTCACAAAAATAGATCATTATTATATCGATGGCTTATTTGAAGAATAACATCATTCCCATTAACAATTAATGGCTCAAACATTCCACTCAAAAACTGAACCACATTCCTACAAGACAAGTTAAAATAAAGCCCAACTTTCTTTACAAAGGAATCAGAACTTAGTCCCTCCCTCACAGGAGGAAACTTTCAACATGATACAAAGAGTTTAACATGCCATTTTTTTAATGACCGGGAGGTGTACAACTATTCTCCACCGAGTTGGCTCATTTAAGAGTAAACACTTCCAATCGCAACTTCATGACTAAACTAAGAATGAATCCCCAAACTTTAATTAAAAAACATAAATACCGAACTACTTATACTAACAACTTTCAACTTTCGTTGATTAACATGACATTTGATAAGCAAGATTAACTATGCAATCACAAATATTAAAACTAAAAGAACATATTTATTAACCCTATTAGCACATTCATTAACTACTCCAGCCACCATAGCTGGTACAAAAACGAATGACCGTGTCATTTTATCAAAAAGCTTGTAGTTGCTCCTTAACATGTTAGTACATGAAACGTCTTAATCCAAACTAGGCAGTCTACCAACAATACAAGTTCATTTGAATGATTATCATAAACAATAGTAAAAGTGGAACAGTTATCAGAAAATATTAAGAGCTCTTATAAGTGGTCCATTGAAAAGATCACTCTTTTACCCCCTTTCAGTTGATCGTGCATGGTGAGCCAACTGTTAGCAAGTTGCAAACAAGTCCAGACAAACAGCTACTTCGCTCCTTATATTATAATATTAAGTACATAATGCATGAGCTACATTTGTCTTCTACTATCAATACACTAATAATGATTAACATTTATCTTAAAATGGAAGTTTACATTTTAAGATGATATCAGAGTTTATTATAAATCTATTAAAAAAGATCACCCACCATTTATATCCACCCATGAAGCCCAATGTCAGAGACCAAGAAATAAAATTGAAAGATACTGTATTATTGAAAACAAAATGTATTACAGAGATAGAATCTGCAATACCCACAGAGCACAGCTCCTGACCCACTACTAACTGAATAACCAAAAACTCTACCCTTCTCTTTCCTCCTCCCTCTAAATGAGAATCCACCTAACTAACTCCACGTTCCCTCATTGCATAAATTCCTCTTTTACCCCTTCTACTAATATTTTTTATTTCTTCTATTGTATGTCTTCCATACCCATGGCCCATGGCTGAGTTGGACTGGGCTAGCTATTTTATGGGGCCTGACATTGCCCTCTCCTTCAACAATAGCCTTGTCCTCAAGGTGTACATCAGGAAATTGATTGGTAATAGTAAATGCTTCTTCCCAAGTTGCCTCCTCAACAGGTTTCCCACACCACTTGACCAACCAGTATGGAACAAGAACCCCGTTTTTCTGTCTTTGTTGAACTGCCAAAATCTACTCAAGTGTAATGTTCTCAAACACTTCCGCTTCCAAACCTGCAGGTAAGTCCACGGTCTCTTGGTAGTTGCCAACAGCTTTCTTGAGTTGAGAAATATGAAAAATGGGATGAATTTTGGAATGTGAAGGAAGCTTTAACTGATATGCTACCGCCCCTATCTTCTTCTCAATTTGGTAAGGCCCATAGAACCGAGCAGCCAATTTAGGATTAATTCTTTGTGCCAAACTTTGTTGTTTGTGTGGTCTTAGCTTGAGAAAAACCCAATCTCCCACTTCATAGGAGTGATGACTCCTTTTCCTATCTGCATACTTCTTGATATGTCCTTGAGCTCGCTGTAGATGATACTGTAACTGCCTAAGTGCCTCATCCCTATCAATTCTACTTTGGTTTCACCCGTAACATATTGCACCAATGTAGGAGGTTTCCTGCCATATACTGCTTGAAAAGGACTGACCCCTGTCGTGACATGAAAAGTGGTGTTATACCACCATTCTGCCCGGTGCAACCAATTGACCCAAGTCTTAGGTTGTTCAAAGCAAAAACACCTGAGATAAGTTTCCAAACACTTGTTAATAATCTCTGTTTGGCCATCAGTTTCTGGATGATAAGAAGAACTCATCCTAAGCTTGGTGCCTTGGGATTTGAATAATTGAGTCCAAAAATGACTTAGAAAAAGGGGATCCCTGTCACTGACTATAGACTTGGGAATCCCATGCAATTTTACCACTTCCTTCACAAACAAATCAGCCACTGTTTTAGCTGTAAATGGATGTCGAAGGGAAAGAAAATGAGCATATTTAGAGAGTCGATCCACCACAACTAGTATGGTATCAAGTCCCTTGGACTTAGGGAGAGCAGTAATAAAATCAATGCTTACATCTTCCCAAATTTGTTCTGGGATATCTAATGGTTGCAGTAACCCAGATGGACATTGAGCTTGGTATTTCTGTCGTTGGCAAATGTCACACTCTTTAACAAAATCTTGAACTCTCTTCTTCATGCCACACCAATAAACATTTTCAGCCAATCTTCTATATGTCCTATAGTAGCCAGAATGACCACCCGTAGGTGTGCTATGAAACTCATGTAAGAGAATTGGAATCCAAGAAGAATTTGCTGAAATGACCAACCTGCCATAATAGAAAAGAATATCATGTTTTATAGAAAATCCAGGCCTAGATGTGGGGTCTTTGTGCAAATCTGAAACCACCCCTTGCAAGTAAGAATCATGATGAATTTCTTCTTGCACCATACTTGAGTCCAACCATTCTGGTTTAGAAACCAGAACTTGTAATTCCACTTCTTCCTTACTCCTAGACAAAGCATCTGCAGCTTTATTTTGAGGACCAGGCTTATAAATCACCTCAAAATCATAGCCCAACAATTTAGTGAGCCAACATTGTTGATCAGGGGTAGAAATTCTCTGCCCCAACAATTGTTTCAAACTCCTTTGATCAGAAAAAACCTTAAAATGTCTCCCTAAAAGATACGGTCTCCAATGTTGAATTGACAAAGCTAGTGCCATGAGCTCTTTGTGGTAAGCCGATTTTGCCAAATTTCCTTCAGAAAGAGATTTACTAAAATAGGCCACGGGTCGACCCTCTTGCATCAAAACAGCACCCAACCCTCTTCCTGCAGCATCACATTCTATCACAAATTCTTTTGTGAAATCTGGTAGCCTCAAAACTGGTGCCTCTGTCATAGCCTTCTTTAGCCTCTCAAAAGCCGTTTGAGCTTGTTCCCCCCAATGAAATCCTTCCTTCCTTGTTAAATCTGTTAGAGGTTTAGCAATTTTGCCATAATCTTTAATGAACTTTCTGTAATACCCGGTCAATCCCAAGAAACCCCTAACACCTTTTACCCCTTTTGGAACGGGCCACTCCAAAACACTTCTCACCTTTTCCGGGTCCATTGCAACTCCATCCTCCGAAATTACATGGCCTAAATATTCTACTGTCTTCCTGCCAAAATGACATTTCTTTTTATTCGCTACCAAGCCATGTTCTTTTAAACAAGACAGCACATGCTCCAAATGTTGGATATGAGACCCCCAATCTCTGCTATACACTAATATATCATCAAAAAACACCAAAACAAACTTCCTTAAACAATGCCTGAACACATCATTCATCAAGGATTGAAAGGTTGCTGGTGCATTCATTAACCCAAAAGACATCACAAGATATTCATAATGGCCATTATGAGTTCTAAAAGCAGTTTTAGGAATATCTTCTTCTCTTACCCGGATTTGATGATACCCTGACTTTAGATCCAGCTTAGAGAAATAAGAAGCTCCATTCAATTCATCAAGCAATTCCTCTATGACTGGTATAGGATACTTGTCAGGTATAGTCTCTTTATTAAGAGCCCTATAGTCAACACACATTCTCCAAGTATGGTCTTTTTTTCTTACCAATATCACCGGGCTTGAATAGGCACTTGTGCTAGGCCTAATGACTCCAAACTTCAATAATTCATCCACTTGCCTTTCTATTTCTTCTTTTTGATAATGTGGATATCGATATGGTCTCACATTCACAGGTTCAGCCCCTTGCTTCAAAACAATCACATGCTCTTTGGTCCTCTTAGGAGGTAAGCCTTTAGGCTCTAAAAACACTTCTAAAAATTTTTGCAAAATACGTTGCAGCCTTCCCTCCTGCTCATCCGTGAATCCTTCACCTTCACACCCTTTTGCCTTTTGAATATTACCAGGCCACATCACCCCATTTATCTCTTGTACTTCCTGATTTAGAAAGCAAAACAAAGAGTCAAATACTCTCCCGAGATTGACTTCTCCCTTCAATTGTATCTTCTTCCCCTCATAATTAAATTCCATAATTTGTTTCTTCCAATCAGTAGTTACTTTCCCTAAAGTAGCCAACCACTCCACACCTAAAATCAAATCCACATCCCCTACATCAAAAACATAAGAGTCAATGATTATCTGCAACTCATCCAATTCCACCAATACTCCATTACAACGTCCTTGCACATTTTTTTTGTTACCATCCCCCAGTGTTACTTTTGCAATTGTAGTCTGCCCATAATCCAACCCCAAAGAATCCACCACCCTTGAAGAAACAAAATTATGTGAAGCTCCACTATCAATTAAAATGATCACAGGAACGCCTTTAACCATCCCCTTGATCTTCATGGTTTTAGGTTGAAAATCAGTCCTCTTTTCTACATTACAGCTACTAAGGAGCGAACAAGTGAGCTCCTCTGGTGGCTGCTCCTCCATTTCTAAGGCCAATACTTCATGTTCCCCACCTTCTAACTGCTCCTCATCCACAATAATTAATTTCAGTTGACGCTCAGGACATTGATGCATTGGGTGAAAGTTTTGACCACATTTAAAACATAACCCTTTTTGTTTCCTTTCCATTAATTCTCCATAAGATAAGTGACGCACCCCACGATCCCTACCACCACCAAATCGCCTCTCTCCGGTACTTGTGTTGCTTACACTAGAGCCTTTATTCTTTGATTCATCATGACGAAATTCCCTCCTTTGCTGACCACCTAAGTTTCCTCCAGATTTTAACATTGTAGAATACTTTGTTCCACCACGAGAAAACAGAGTACGATTTTGACTCCCTTCAACTACCCCCAAACCCCTCTTATATAAGGGTTTTAAGTGAGTTTCCTCGAGCAAATCAACCTCAATCGCCCTTGCAAGCTCCATCATTCTTACCTTGTTGTCAGGTTTATGTATTCTGACCTTCCTCCTAATTTCTGCTCGAAGGCCATGCATGAAATAGGCCATAAATTGTTGCTTTGGCATCTTAGGGACTTGAGAAGTTAAGTACTCAAATTCCTCAATATAAGAGGCCATTGTTCCCTCTTGTTGTAACTCTGCAAGACTCTCAAAAGGATTCTCAACGAACGCTCCTCCGAACCTCCGCAGTAATGCTACTTTAAGACCCTCCCAAGATGGTTCAGATTCACTGTCAAACCAAAGATTGAACCAATGCACAGTGGATCCCTCTATACAAATCTTAGCCAAACGCACCTTCAACTCAAGTCGAGTTTCCTGAATTTCAAAATACGTCTCTGCTCTTGATATCCATGCACCGGGGTCACTGCCATCGAAACTCGGAAGCTCCACCTTCTTCACAGCTGATCGAAATTCGGATAATATTTGCAACTCCAAGGGACTTTGATTATGCGACCCACTTTCACTCGAACCCGACGACCCAACATTCGAAACATTCCCACCTGAGCCTCGTGACAAACGAACTTCCATTTGCCTCATCTCCTCCATCATCTTATTCATTAGACTCTGCAACTCCGATTGGGCTTTCACCTGGTTCTCCGCCAAATTCTGCACCGTGACCTCCAACAAGCTTACACGACCGTCCATCGCTGCTGAGGTTCCTCCACGTCCTTTGGGCATAAACTCTTTCGTTGATGACTCAGGCAACGGATCCGGCAGGTCGGACCAATTGTCAGAGACCAAGAAATAAAATTGAAAGATACTGTATTATTGAAAACGAAATGTATTACAGAGATAGAATCTGCAATACCCACAGAGCACAGCTCCTGACCCACTACTAACGGAATACCCAAAAACTGTCCCCCTTCTCTTTCCTCCTCCCTCTAAAATGAGAATCCACCCAAAACGTAACTAACTCCACGTTCCCTCCTTGCATAAATTCCCCTTTTACCCCTTCTACTAATATTTTTTATTTCTCCTATTATATGTCTTCCATACCCATGGCCCATGGCTGAGTTGGACTGGGCTAGCTGAGTTGGACTGGGCTAGCTATTTTATGGGGCCTGACACCCAATAATGCTGGACACGAGAAAATATATTGAGAAAAAAAAACTAAATCTCACATCAATAAGATATAAGGCTAACATGAAAAATATAAGTGGAGAGTACCTTCATCTTATAAGCCGATTTTATAACGATGAATTGAATCCATAACCCACTTAAGAATTTACAACATTGCAATGAAATCAATGGTTTTATACAAGTAATCCTCTTCCCCCACCCCCATTTTTCTCTCTCAAATCTTGCTGAGGGTGAAAGCATTGAAAATTTAACTTATGTGTGTGATTGGATCATCTCATTTTGGGAAAATAATTGCAATTTTTTGTTTTGCATCTTCCCAAGAGCTTTTGGGGGAAAAAATGATCATTTCTCACAATTAATCATATTCCAAACAGCCAATTAAACTGAAATCTGCATTTGAGATAAGAGCGTCACAACATCTTAAAATCAAACTAAACTATTCATATAAAAATAGTTTTTATACAAGTAATCCTCTTCCCCCCACCCTGTTTCTCTCTTTCTCTCTCTCTCTCTAGAATCATGCAGAGGATGCAAACATTGATAAATTAACTAATCAGTGTGTTTGGATTATCTTACTTGCGGAAAATAATTGTTTTTTTATTTTGCATCTTCCTGACAGCTTTTGGGAAAAAAGAAATGATCATTTCTAAAAATTAATTATATTCCAAACAGCAAATTAAACTGAAATCTGTATTTGAGATAAAAGCATGACAACATCTTAAAACCAAACTAAACTCTTTATATAAAAATAATTATTAAATATTCTTATACAGGTGTAGGAGAAAGTAGAAAGTCTGGTTGTTGTCTCTGTAGCAGTATCCCACAAAAGGGACACAATGGTTTTGAGGATACTGCATGAGAGTTAGATATAGTGGAAGAGTCTGAATCTAGATGAAATGAAGACATTCTAAAAAGTGGTTCTGGCGCCAATCTAAACCCTGACCTATGACAACAGACACAATACCATAGGGGAGTAATGGGGCAAACCTGCATACAAACAACACATCTCGATAACCTGTGAGGCTTAACATCACCACTACTGAAATTTTCACCCTGACAAAAACCAAACTCAGGGGATTCAAATGGAACTGATGCTGAACAAAAACTGCATGTCTCACATCTACTGGTCAGGGACCTGTTTTTTAAGAGAAACAAGTTACTGTGATTAGCATAGTTGAAGTTCTGAAGCAAATACACAATTTTATGGTTGTTGCTGGAAAAAATTATGTAGACAGTTTTGTACTAGTGCCAAGGTAAATATTTATGAACAAGAATTTACTAGTTAAATTTAAGGATAAGATATGCATAAAAACAATAGTTAAGAAAAAATTACGGATAATTACCTCTCAAATTAATAATTATGTTAATAAATGCTTAGTTGGTTACTCGTTAATCACTCTTAACATCAAAACCCAGCAGTGTTACTAATTCTGATTTGAATTTTTTTTACCAAGGATTCTTTTTGCAATTTGTTTTCATAAATTACTTATGGGAAAACCACTTTCCCAAATATTTTCTTGCTTCACTAATTACAACAAAATTCGTTATGAGCAGAGAGGAAAGAAAATCCTTTATTCAGGAAAAAAATTATGTCACCGATACAGAAAGAAAGGAATGGGAATGAACTGCAATGGACTAGTTGATCGGTGAATATTAAGAATTTAGAAAGGACATCATTTGGTTTAAGAATATCTAGTTAATAATCCACCAAGTTACTCTTCCACCTTTTCTCCAGAAAATACTAATGTATGTAACTCAGATTGACATCTGGTTATCCTCAATTCTGGGACAAAAAAGTTTTTGTGCATAAACGAAGCTATGAAAAAAAAAAAAGCAATTATACAGGAAGACAAATAGGAAAAAGAAACAATATCTAAAGTCTAAAAGGTACCTTTTCTCGATAGTAACTTCTGATGCAATGAATTTCAACTGGTCACGTAAATGTTCCCTATCTAAAGCAATCCATTGTTCCATCTCAGCTAGTCCAACAGGATACCAACAACCAGGTTGGGAAGTAGTTTCTGTATTGGACATGCTAGTGCGGAAAGCAGATAAACTAAAACCAACAAGCCTTTCTCGGAGCTCTCTTTCACTGCTTAGAAGAATTTCTATCCACTTAGTAGTTTGTTTTTCCATGGCAGGACATACCCTTTCCAGCTTTTGAACCATTTTGTTCATTCCAGTTATTTGATCAGCATCCAGCTCTGCTAACATTACACGTCTACAAATTATATTGAGCAAGTGTAGCAGTCTAGAAGGAATGTCTGACAAGCTTGAAGAGACAGCTGACAAAACTTTTTCAGGAGGAAGGTCCATATGTAATTGTAGAAATGATGATGAGATCCACTTAATTAGTATATGTTCAGCAAATTTAGAATTGTTTTCCTTGAATGCCAATAATGCTGCAATTATATCCCAAAGAACCAGAGGCTTATTATGACATTGATATTGGTTTAAAGACCATAAAATATTGGTTCCCCAACAAGTTAATTCTTTCTCCATAAAACTGGAATTTTCTTCAATGTAACATGAAAAGGGAGATTTCAGCTGAACATCCACTTTGAGCCCACCAATCCAAAAGTATTCAACAGCTGCCTTCAGAATCCTGTTTAGAGTTCAAAAAGAATGTCAAATTTCCACATTTGAAATTTTTCTTTCATGAAACCTGTATTTAGGAAAAGACAATGGGTACAAAAGAAAATTACATAAAACATTTAAGTAGTATAAACATTAAGCTACCAATGTTGTTTCATGATTCTTTCAAGGAGTCTGTTTGGTCTACGAAGGTGAGGCAAAAATCTGCCAGATGGTATGACATTGTGTGTGTGTGTGATTTTGGGTGCTTGACATTGTCTTACAACTGAAAAATAATTGGGAACAATATCATAGGTTTAACATACAGAACAGAGAACATAATTCTGAAATTCTAAAAAATACAGAACTGAATTCCAAAATTTTGAAAAAAAACAGAGCACAAAAACATTGATCAGATGAAGAACAAGAACATTTGCATTGAGAAAATAAGAGGAACATCTGAAGAAATGAAGAACAAAGAAAAAAAATAGTTGGAAGAAGAAAATAACTGTTATGGGTTGATTCTGACAAAAAGACTAACAGAGAAAGTACGAATACAAAATGTATGAAGTCTGGAAAAACCCTTAAAAGAGTTTTTTAAAAGAAAAAAAGCAAAAAAAAATAGGGTGGGGGGCAGTTCCTTCATGAGCATTCATGAGCATCGCAAACGGCCATGAAGCCTAGCCATGGCAGACACGTGAGAAATAACAGGATGGCATAGGGGTCCAACCAAAAACTCCATGTTACACCTCTATGACAGTGCCATAACAGTTATTTGATAACATTGAAATAAAGTGTTTTTAGTAGAAAAAATCTTAAAGACCCTTTTAGACTTGTATCCAAACATTGCTCAAGGTCAAATGGCAGCATAATCATTGTAAATATACAAGACTTCTATCCATTGGACTAGAGTGACATGAGTTGCAATTTTGTATTATATAATACTCCCAATTGATTCCAAATTATAATTAACATGGAAAAATATGTGTGCATCCCTGAGTGCCCCCCCCCCCCCCCTCTCTCTCTCCTCTCAGTACCCTCACATACCCAATCAGAAATGAAGGCAAGAAAATGGTAACATGAATATCATTTTTATACCTTCCTTCATACATTCGATGCAGTTTCTCAACATCAAAGCAATGAACCTGCAATAAGTAAGCAAAAAATAATCAGAAATGATATAATAATATATGGTCAAAGCAACAGCAAGGATAAGAATTGCATGCAAGTATACATAACTAACAGCCAGCAATGCACCATGCAAATATAGTAAATGAAAGATATTAAATCTGAAAATGTGTTAAAAAGAGAAACAAATATTTTCTGAATATGCTTTAGTAATATCTCCACCCAGCAGAATGGATTTATTTATGTACAAGAGAATTACAAAGATAATTAATGCCAAAAACAATTTATAAGAGAACAATTAAGATAATAAATGATGCATTGAACCTAGTTATAACAAGTCTTATAATGTCAATTTAAACCTAACTCAATTCTATAAAATCGACTTGCAAGATGAGAATTATGCCCCACTTATATAAACTACTTTGGTCATTTCACTAGTGTATGTTGGATCTTCAACACAAAATATTTAGGCAACTTGGAAAAATAAACATTAAAAGGGTTCCTATCTCCTAAAATATTCCTATTTCCAACAAAAAGAAAATACTAAGTTATCTGTCAACATATTTTTTTTCCTGCACCACTTGTTATTTAGTCAATTGTCAATCAATCCTTCAACATAATGGCTCTTTGAAAAACATAAGGATGAGAGAACTGGAGCTCCTCTGCCCACAACATCCATCTAAATGGAATGCATTTACCATTGGGCAATTCACTAAACAAAGCACTCCTCCAATTGCACCTTTGGAGAAAAGCTCAGGTGATTGACTACTGGTAAACTTTGTGAATTTATGGGGAGTTTCATAGACATTTGGGGCATTCCAATACAGCATTTAAGAACCACTTCATTTTGATACTTTAAAAGACATGAATATGTCAAGGATTGATATACAAATGCAAAAACTAAGATGGAAACAAAATATCATACAGTAGCAATGACAAGATTTCCAGGGGACACAGCTACGCCAAAACATGAATCGAATGCATCTCTTGAAATCTGCAATGAAAAAAAGAACACAACATTTAGTAGGAAAAAACAAAAATATACACAAAAGGAGATAGAAACATAAAAGGATAGTAATGATACGCAGATTGAACTGTCATGAGGCATGTCAGAAAAAAGGGTCACTTCATTGAGACGATTCTCATGCAAAGTCCAGCTCCGTACTAGATTATCCTATCAACATTTAAACAACAATTCATCAATTATAAATACATCTACTCAATGCGCATCAAAAGCACCAAAAAAATTTAAAAGACATCTTAGAAACCATTCAAAAAACATGGAAGTGGGCCATGCAACATTTTGCTGTATGTATTTTAAACTGTAAAAAGTTTAATGCATAATCTAATTAACTAATCTTGCTTTAAAACTTTCCAGTTAAGATAAACAGAAAACTATTCTAGATACCAAGTTTTTGTTTCATTATAAAAATTAACAAGTTGAAACCCTGAAATGAGCTGAGTTCCAAGTTCTAGAAGAGCAAGCAGATTCACCCCATTATGCAAGCTTGCATATATATTTGATTTTCTTTCCCTTTTCAGCTTACAGATAAAGAGAAAACAGAATTTTTTTTAAACCACTTTATAAGGACCAATCAAATATAACTTTAAAAGATGATAGCAAACACTTTAAACTGTAAACATTCTAGCAATATCTTGCAGTGTTTACGTCTTATACACACTGTTGTAGAGCTTTGTATAGTGTTACTAGTGTATAGTGCCAGCTGTAAAGCTGTTTTAGACAACCACAGTAAGTTATAAAAGGTTCTGAAATCTGCTGTAAAAGACTTCAGACCATTACTGCAGATCTGACAACTATTTCAGTAACTATGTATAGACCTGTGAAGTCAGATCTGAACGATTAATTCAATTCAGAAACACTAAACTACAAATTCAGAACTCTTCAAATTTTGTCTCAGAATTTTCTTTCATTTTCTTTCCTGTTCCCTTTCTAATTTCTATAACTTTTATGTTTGTTTTCAAATTCCCACAGAAATCCATTTGTTTCCCTGAAAATTCCCCCAAATCTATGCTCCATTGACCTTTACACATTAGATATCCATCAAACTGGATGAACACATCACGACAGTAAACAAATCAAGAGACAAATGGTGAAGAAACTTGGTGAAGACACAATTAGCAGGGAGTCAGCTGTAATCAATAATCAAGACAGTTAACAAACAAGTTTAACCACAGAAATGAAAATCGAGAATTTAACTGGTAGAACATAAAAAAGAAGACATAAATGGTGAAGAAACTTCGTAAGGATCATGCAACATATTTATGTCTACATTACTATGATTTCACTTTTATGCCACATAATTATAAATTAAACGATACTTTGTTAGAAAAATGGTTAAATCACCTAAGTAAAAGATAATAACCTGGCTGCAGCTGTACAAAAATCTACCACCAAATGCCCAGGCCAAACCTGTAACCTTAAACATTAAAAAATGCAGAAATCAGCAGAGCAATATGGCCATTTTTTTCAACTAACTCCAGAAACAGAGAGGGAAAACTTACAACCAAATCATGCGCATCATATGAGCCAAGCTTATCAAATTCCCTAGAAGATATGTCACATAGCCATATTTCAAATGAACCAGAAACTGTGCCTATGGCTAAAAGCATCTTAGAAGGGTATTGAACGTGCACAGTTACTGAGAGTACAGAAACTGGGACAGCATTGACAGTTATAACCTATTTAGGAATTGAAAGTTGCACGAAGGATTATTCACAAAAAAAAAAGGGAGTTAAAAATGAAAAGTGGTGCAGAAAGTACATAGCAAGTACCTCCTTCAATAATGAGAAAGAAGCTTCATCCACTTCTGATGATTTCAGCAATTTGTCAATGTCAGCCAACCAAATCTTCACACTGCAAAGCACATACATGATACATTCAGCTAAACTTGGACATTAGGTACAAAATGTAATTTCCTACAAAAAGTCAATCTAATTATGAGTGTGAGGGAAGTTCACTGGAATATGCCAATATGAGCTTCTTGAATGAATGATATCAAGGTCAGAAGTTTGAAAGTGCACTTTTCTAGGGATTAGTAGCATCTGAACTTCTAAGCATACATCAATAAACAATGTGTGATTTAGTTGATTAATCAAATATCATGGAATCTATCCCTACCCTTTCCTAATAAAGGACATGTTTAGCTTCTTCATTAAGAAGCATTCAAATCAAAAGAATAAGTATCTATTTTCGTGAGACAACTAAGTTTTAGAAAGCTTGAACAGTTATAAAACTGATAATGGATGAGTGGCAAGAATTAAAGACATGTTTTCAGTTTCCAATTAATGAGACGAGTTTCATGACAGCACAATGTATGTACGATAATGGTTATCATTCCTGTGTCCCAAGAACAGGTTATTATAAACAGTAATATCAAAAGGCCAGAAATAGTTGCAGTCTACATATTGTCATCCCGGTTTTTGAAATTACGTTTTTTACCTTGTGGTATCAACAGTGCTAGTATCAAAGTGAATAAAATATAGATGAGGAGAAACTGGATGAATTTTGATTAGATAAATTCTTTTGGGTATCATTGAGAGTATTTCCATCACTATGATGATGCAGATAAAGCAAAAATAAAAAATCTGGCACAACTATACCAATAGCTTAACAAGATAATATGATGATATTAGAGCATAGATATAACACAATTGCATAAGCATGCTTAGCGCACCTCCCATCAGAGCTTCCAGAAGCTAATAAAATTTGAGGATTTGAAGAATCAAGAGAAAACAACAACCAACTAATAGTTGTAACCCACGAATTGTGTGCCTGAAGAAGGCCAGCAAACTTCACAGTAGTTGGGACTTCTCTGTCCTCAACAGTATAACAATCTGGTGGGTGAAATCTCCATAAAGAAATTTTACCAGACTTCCCACCAACAGCAAGTAGACTGACAGAATCACAAACTGGATTAAATTCAGATGCTAAACGCAGCAAGGGAGACCATGAAACAACAAGCGAACAGAGCATTGCACTACGAGAAGCATATTGGTCAGCACTTATCAATGGCAACAAGTGGTTCTCAGCCTTTTTTTTCGACAGTTTCTCATTATTTTTATCGACAGAATCTGTATGATCTGATGCATTTTTCTGCAAGCACAATCTAATATTAGGCACCTAACAATCAAATCAACACAGTCATAAAGATGCTTTTAATGGCACTTCAAAAAATTATATCCAGTATAACTTAACACCTGATTTGCATAAGAAAATGCTGTAAAGATAACTAACTAGATAAAACATAGTTTGCACCCCTTTTATGAAACTGAAGAGAAGCAACAAAGGAATTGTTATAAAAAAATAAAGAGTGTTTTTCCAACAAGGGCCCTAAGGGCACTGATTAGCATTGAAATACTCTCTTTTTTGATGAATATTTCTATTTTTGTTTCCTTAACCCTGCATTTAGCACACGGGAGCATTTGCTTTAGGGACTAGAGCAAGCATTTTTGTGCTTACAACCTGATGGCAAATTGGCAATAAAAGTCCATTAAAAAAATCTCCAGACACAATAAATGCCATTGCACAAACAACAAAATATCTGTAAAAGACAGTTGCCTATAAGGGCAAAAGAAAAGTTTTGTACAATTATAATGTGCAAATGCCCAGATATGTGAACATGAATAATATAAGTAACATAACAGATAACACTAATTCATGCACACTTCACATATGTCCCTTAAAACAGCCTAACACATGTTATCAAACTTATCTTAGCTTTTTTACTGGCATCTATGATGATGTCAGAAGTACATAGATAAGAATAGCGAGAAAACGGATCATTAGCATGACCTGTTAAGGGATATATAGAAAAAGAAAGCCAACCAAGAACACGATGAATAAGATAACTTACATCAGATACATCTAATGAAGCGTTCCCTGTACCTTGAAACGTGGTAAATTGAAAATACTCATACAACCTTTTAGTTATGTCCACAACCTGAACAGAATAAGAAAAATGGCATATTATACTTACAACAGTGTACACATAAAATGTTAGGATCAATCATATAATATTCAAAATATTCATTTCTTTATATTGCACAAATCCATACATGGGAAATAGTATGAAGCCCAAATACATGATACAACATGAGCATGATATGACAAATACAGGAATACATGAAATTCTAAAAAATTCAAGATACATACAATACAATCTAGATACGTACCTCGATCCATTCAGCACAGTAATCACAAAAAGGTGGACGAAAAATCTTCACGCGTCCTTCAGAGGTGCAAACAGAAATCAAGCACCTGTAGCAAATTAAACCTATAAATATTATTTAAACCTGTAAAAACATTAATTTCTCATGAATGAACAAACTATGGTGCTGCTAGAAGTACAGTATGACCCATGCAGTCCTTATCTGCAAAATCAGAGATGCACAACCTAGAATCACCATTTCAAAGAGAGTTTTACCCAGCCACAACACAACCCCAACTCCAGAATTACGTGAGCAATTTAATATGTACCAAATACACTATAGACATATTTGGATAAACTTCTCCTTGAGCAATTCTAAAAGAAAAAATAAGAAGACAAAATGAAATTAGGTTCTCAATTAGCTTAGATTAACTTATGCATAAGCTGATTTATAGAAAGTCTTTTATATTGGTATCTCCTAGAAGTACTTATATAGAAGTTTATCCAAACAGACCTTGTGACTCTATTGTTGCCCACCATCTAGGAGTACATGAAGTCTTACAACAAAAAAGGGGCGAAAACAGAAACACATCAAATGAAATTATTCAGGAAAACTAAAATCCATACCCTGAATTCGCAGCCATGCCAAGCGGAGACCATGATATTGATCGGACAACAGGCTTATCATCCCGATACAATGTTATCGGCAGGAGGCATCCAGAGAGTAAATCTGTGCATAACTCAATTCCAACACATAAAAGTCACAAGTTCAAACTCGATGGATGGCACCAAGCCAATGAAATTACTCACTCTAATTCAACATTATCACATGAAATTTTAACTATAAGCATGAGACACATAATAATAGTGTTGCAAAATCTAATAATTTGAATTTGGGCCTAACATAACACCAAAAAGTAATCATGATGTGAGGGTTTCCCTTCATTTATATGTACCATAAGTACAAGACCCATGATAATGATGTCGCATGATCCTAGAATTTGGACTTGGGACTAACTCAACCCCAAAACCTAACTCATGGTGTGAGGGTTGCCCCTGTTTATATATACTATTTTGAATTTTTGATTATATAACAAGTTAATGTATGATTTCCAACATATAAACCTCACACTAAGGACTAAACATCTTGAGTATTAAGTTCACAAGACTAAACATCCACAACTTGTCTGACAACAGGTGACCTAACAATCTTGAATTCGCTCTGATTCCATCTTTGAATTTGAGTTTGGACTTAATTCAACCACAAAAACTAACTCATGAGATGAAAATTGTCTCCTACTCATATACAGGATCATTTGTTAGAGAAACGTTAGCAACACAGTATCTATAACACTCTGTAGTATTGACTAAAATATGTTACTTGTTAAAAATCATAAAATTAAGCGGGTCTCACCCCTTATTTAATGAACCCGACTCATGATTTTGTAGGTAGTTTTTAATAAATTTTGACAAATAAAAGAGTAGGTCGGGAAGAATGTATCAAGAGAGTATGTTATATCACTAATCAATGTGAGATATCTACAGCATAACAAACACAACAAACGCATACATTATACCATGGATAAGAAACATAAAATACCTCATCAAAATCACTAATGCACTCAACAAGTCAAGTAAAACACTAACGATTAATTAACAAGTGACTTCCTGGTAAACCCCAATAACCCAACTCACCTAAACTTTCATTAATAAAAAATAAAAAAATAAAAAAAGTGATTTTCAAAATTTACAGGGTTGAAGTAATGGTAGTACCTTTTCTTTCTACAAACCCCACTTGAAGGGGCTCACTTGGGGAGACTTTAATCACACCTCGTGGTCCAAATGGCAAGTCTGGTCTCTGAAAAACAACAACAACAAAAAAAAAAAAAAAAACATTTTTTGACAGAAGAAAAAGAAAGAGGAAATAGCGTATTTAATTAGTGTGAAGAGATGGATTTAGTACAAGTATGGTGACAAGGTGACCGGAAGAAACAGCAATGAGGTTGTCGTGAGACCAGGCAATGGCGTTGGGAAATGAAGGTGACCCCAATAGCATCGCAGGTTGTAACGGATGGGGAGAGGAGCGCGCCATGCTGCGTAATTTTAAGAGACAAGAGAATGTGAATGTGTGAAGGAGTGAGGGTTCGAATCCCTAGTAGCCTTAAAATAAATACCAATCTAAAATATAACTTAATGCTTCTCCGATCCCCTGTATGAAGGTGCACGGGATATATAAAATAACAACTTTTGTAGCATTTCTATCTTAGATATATATATAACAGATTTTTATATTAAATTCTTATAAAATAAAATTACAATTATATTAATTATATAATACTGTAATGCACTTCAATAACAAATATAAAGGCAGCATAAAATTAACTATTACAACTTTATAGTTAATGTAAATAAAAAAATTACATACAAAATATTATTTATTATTATGTCAAAAATATTTATATTTTTATCTTAATATTTTACATATAACAGTAATTATTAATTATTCCTTTTTTAAAGTAAATGTAAATAAATAAAAAAATCACTTAAAAGTATTAATATTAAAAGTTACTCATTATTATGTTAAAAATTTACATAAAATATTTATGTTTATTCTTAATAATTCACATAAAATTTGAATAAAATTAATATTTTTAATCATATAAAATAAAATAAAAATTACTATAAAAATTATTTTTCACAAATTTAACTGGAAAATAATATATATATATATATATATATATGAATTTATAAAAAATTTTAATGTAATATTAAATTTTGACAGAAACTATGTAAATATTTTTTAATGTAAATCCTTATTAATAATTACTAGATTTAAGTTCAATTACTAATTACTAATATTACGTTTCAGGAAAATATTATCTACACGTCTTTATCTATATTTATAAAATTTATATATAATGGTGTAGCATGAAATATTGCTGGGTCAGATGCGAAGAAGCGAAGTTGAACCCTAACTCCCACGAGTGGTTCAGAGTAAGACAGAGTGAAGGGAAAGGAGAAAGTGTGCGTTTGCGGGAATGCTCAAAGCTTCTCATAGTAATATTCTAACTTACCAATATTTTCTTTTTATGTTTAATTATTTTTCTTATAATTTAAAATATTCTATTATACTTTATATATAAATTATAAAGACTAATAATAAAAATAACATGTATAAAATTAAAACATAAAATTTATGAAATTATATAATTAAAAAAGCTCATATTCTTTATTCAATTATAATCAGTAAGTATAATAAATTTATTGTTTTTTATAATATTAAAATTATATATAAAAAAAATATTAATAATGCTTTATGCTATAAAATATATTACATTAACTATATATTTCAATTACATTGAGTATATGTAGACCTTTTATTTTTCTGAAAATTTGACATTACGTAAACCTTTTATTAACTATAAAAATATATTATGTTAACTGATGTTTAAAATAAAATATTTTCAAATATTATAATTAAAAGAAATTTAATATTAAACCCTAAATCTTAAACTATTATAAATTTTAGATTTTATTTATTATGTTTTATAATTAAAAGAAATCTAATATTAAATCAAAATATTATAAAAATCATAATAAAATCATAATAAATATTCTGATATTAAATTTAGTATATATTAAAATAATTAAATATTTGTATTTAAGAAATTGTTATAGATTTTAGATATATATTTTAAATTTTTTGTTTTATTAAATTAATTGAAAATTAATTATATTTTATTACTTTTTAATAAAGTAAATAAATGATAATGAATTAACTAAATTTTTAAAATATATTTTAATTAAAAAAATATTTTTTTGGTGAATACGGTGACTAAAAGTATTTTAATAAATAATTAAATTAAAAAATTAAATCTTATAATATTTTTTTTAATGATACTAAATCAAATATTCTAATTATTTTATAATAAATTAAAATAAAAAGATAATAAAAATATGTTAACTAATGTTTTAAGTAAAATATTTTAAAATATTATAATAAAAAAACCATTATTAAATCAAAAAATTATAAAAATCATAACTAAAATCATA